AAATATATAAATAATAATGAAATTTTTTTTAACGTTGATAAATCGCGAAAAATTACAGTTAACATTCGAGTATTGGTTTTTACGTAGTAGAGCAGAAGACAGACGACATTTATAAAAAAAATTTTGTATAGTTAATTTTGTACAAAATGTATTTCAAACGACTTTTAACTCAAACTAAACCTTTTGTAAAAAATATTTCTACTTCTGCCGTTAGAAAAAGCGATCATAATACTAGGGATATTGTCGGCTCTGTAAGTTTTTATTTTTTTAATTTTATTTCACGTAACAATAAAAAAACTAGCGTTAAGGTACCATTTTCTGAACAATGTACCTTATTTTCTTTGAGTAAATAATTAAAATGATGTTACTTTAATAATTAAAACCGTTAAAATATTGTAAAGCATAAATTTACACACTAACTTGTACATTTTCAATAATTTATATAAGTTTATGTATTGACAATTTTTATTTTTGACCATGAGTTCATGCTTTCATATATAAATATTAAAATTATATAATTTACTTATATTAAAACATGTGTAAAAATATTAACCTATATTAATAATTATTATAAAACATTCATATCAATTATTTATAAATCAATTATGTAAAATTTTACTCATCCAAAATATTTTTTACCAGTTTCGAATTTTGTCCTAGCTGATCCTAAAACCTTGCTTCCTTTCAAATTCCAATTCTTGCTAAAGGTATGTAATAAATGCCTTGATTATTTTTTAAATTAAATCAATATTTAAAAGTGATAATCAAACTAATTTAGTTTATTTTTTCTTTTTTTTTTAGAATTTACCATTTAGGATTGACAATCAATGGAGATTTTTATTCTTCTTCTCAATCTATGTTGGGACTGGAATGGGATTGCCATTTATTTTGCTTAGAACTATGATTTTACAGAAAAATCAAGGTTAAATTAATTTTTTTTTTAAGTAAAAAAAAAAAATAAATCTGATTATATAGTATGTTGTAGAAACAAACAATAGTATTAAACTGTATCAGTCGAAAACATTTTCAACAAACAAAAAAAATTTAATAAATACATTAAAATGTATATATATATCGTTTAATTTATTTTACCTGAGTTTAGACGAAAAAAAAATATTTTTTTTTATTAAAATTTATACATGTATAACATATTTACTTATTAATTTCTATTTTTTATTTTACAAACATGATTAAATGTTATTAAAATTATTAAAAATAGATCTCGATAATTTAAAAAAATATATATGTATAATTAAATTATTGGATTTTTTGGTAACAGTTGAAAAATTTATTAAAAAAAAAAAGAAGAAATTTTTTTTTTTTCATCACCTGAACTCGATTACAAAATTGAAATTTAATTTAATAAAGTACACAAAATATGATTAAGACAACAAACAACCAACTTTAATTTTATGGTCTTCCATGAAAAAAAAAAAAAAAAAAAAAAACAATGATGACTTTTGTAAACAGAGAAAAATTTTCCTTTTTTTTTTTTTTTTAACAAGACGACTTAATATAAAAATTTTTTCCACAAAAAAAAAAAAATTAAAATTATATTTACAATGAAAAAAAAAGAAAAGAAAAAAAAAAAAACTTTATTACTATTTCTAACAAGTACTAAAAAATTATGTTTTCCTGATAATTTTTTTTACCCTTTATTAACCGGAAAAAAAATTTCATTTTTTTTATTGTTTAACAACAACATAATTAATTGAAATAAAAAAAAATTTTGAAAAAACATCAAACTGTAACAAAAAAAACAAAGTTTCATTAAATTCAAATATAAATTTACTATGTCAAACGTATTTATTTGACAGTTTCAAATAATGGCACACACACACGCACTCACACACCCACACAAGATTAACTTTTCATAATAAAATATTAGGAGGTTATATATTTTAGGAGGTTTTTAATTTTTAAAACAAAATAACAAAAAAATTAAATAATTGTGTTTTTCTCTTATAAATTATCAATTGGGGAGGAGAAAAAATTACCCCTCCCCTCTGCTCCCCTCTCCCCTCCAATTAATTACTATTTTTAATTAAAAAATTTAGTAAAATGGAACCAAAAAAAAAAAAAAA